AGGTTTAACATCATTCCTAAAATGTGGAAATAGATTTTTCTACCAGAACTAACACTCGCCTGAATATTGAATACTTTAACACGGGGGTCTTTTTATGTTTGATTCTAAATTTTACTTAATTATTGTCTTGTTTGACCTAATTATTGTTTGTTCATAACTACGTTTATGATATAAAAATATAAAATATGTAAAGTTACGTGAACTTTAACAAAAGTGAAAGTTCAGCTAAATGCTTCATTATGCCTCCCTCATTGAAATGTATCAAGTAAAATTAGCCTATATGTATTTGAAAATGTATATCACTATTTTTAAAGAGCGTTGTACATAAAGTATGTAAATATTAATAAGGCACTGCATGTTATAAGCTTGACTTAAAAAATGCAACACTCAATTTTACACATTATATAACGGGAGTCCCTTCTCCATCTTTCTAAAAGGTTAAAGACCCCCCTGCTTTAATAAAACTTTAAATCATCACAGAAAGTGTGTAGTTTAACTTTGTAACTGAAGCCAGACAAGTGAATTTTTATGTAATGGCAACTTTCTTTTGTCTCTCTCTCTCTGCTCCCCTCCCTTTCAGGTGAGAGCTATTCAGGTGAGATAACCTGAGCGCTCACGGGTGCCATGAATTGGGCTTTTCTTCAGGGTCTCTTGAGTGGGGTCAACAAGTACTCCACCGTTTTCGGACGTGTCTGGCTGTCCGTAGTCTTCCTTTTTAGGGTCATGGTCTTCGTCGTAGCTGCGGAGAAGGTATGGGGTGACGAACAGAAAGACTTTGCGTGTAACACAGCTCAGCCTGGCTGCCATAACGTTTGCTACGACCACTTCTTCCCGGTGTCCCACATACGTCTGTGGGCGCTGCAGCTCATCTTCGTCACCTGTCCGTCGTTCCTCGTGGTGCTGCACGTGGCCTACCGTGAGGAACGTGAGCGGAAGCACCGCCTGAAATACGGCGAGGGCTGTCAGCGGTTGTATGCCAACACTGGAAAGAAGCGCGGTGGTCTTTGGTGGACGTACGTCCTCTCGCTGGTTTTTAAGATGGGAGTGGACGTGACCTTTGTGTATCTCCTGTATCACATCTATGAGGGCTATGACTTCCCCACTCTGGTGAAGTGTTCTGAGTCTCCTTGCCCCAATGTGGTTGATTGCTTCATCTCTCGGCCCACAGAGAAGCGGATCTTCACCATCTTCATGGTGGTGACAAGTCTGGTGTGCATCCTGCTCTCCCTTTGTGAAATCCTCTACCTGGTGGGAAAACGCTGCTTTGAGTGTATCCACAGGATGCAGGGCTCACGGCAGATAAACAAGGCAAGGTCCATCGCCAACATGAGGAGTTCAAATGCTCATTTAGATTCAAACAGCAAGAAACTGGCAAGCAAAGACCAGCTAGTGCCAGCGTACAGTTTGGTCTTCTCATCCTAAAAAAAACATGAGCTTGGAAAAAAACTTCCACTCAAAGTGGGACCCAGAGAGATGGAAAATATTCTTCATGTTCAACACGATGTGAACTCAAACATGACCAACTCAGTGGACGGTTGGCAGTAAAGGAAGCCGCTTGTATGCTTACCCTATATCCACTGGATCTTTTGCTGGAAAGTTGTGACCTGATAAACAACATTGTATATTTCAAAAGCTTATGGGGTCAAAACGCCAACATTCAGGATGACAGACTTTAGTTTGACTAAAGCAAGTCACTGCAGGGTTTTGGGTGTGGTGTGGCTTCTGTTAGTCGAAGCTCCAGAACACCAACACCAATGGGCACTTTAAACACCAAATACAATACAGATGGTATAAGCCCAGAAAATTACAATAATTACTATTAATTACAAAGTACACATTTGTCAGTTTTTCAACTGACACTAACAAGCAAAACGTGACTGCAAATTATGTTAAATCACTCTTTGCTTCACATAGTTTTATAGTTATTCATTTTTTTCAGAAGAAACCAAAAATAGTATAATTCGTTGATAGAAGAATCTATTATCTATAGAAGCCTGTTTTTATTTCAGAGTAATTGTGACTTCATATCTCACCAAAAATGAAAATTCTGTCATCATTTACTCATCCTCGTGTCGTTTCAAACCTGTAGAACTTTCTTTTCATATTTTGAATAATGTTTTAACAGTTTTTGTCCACACAGTGACATGTCAATGGGGTGCAAAACAACATTGAACACTAATTACTTTCATGGTATGGACAATATATTAATAATAATAAATGATGACCGAATTTTCATTTCCGGGTAAATTGTCCCTTTAAATATCACAGTTGTGACTCACAATATGACTTTATATGATGCAATGTGACTTTAAATCTCACAGTTGTGGCTTTATATCTTGTAATTGCAACATTATATATCTTGCAGTGTGACTTTATATCTCATGTGGCTTTATTTCTTGTTGAACTGTTAAACTTTATCTGACAATTAATTTTTATTTTTTACTCTAAGGTGGAAACAGGCTTCCATAGCTGGAAATAAATTTTACTTTACTTTACTTTAATTTTATATCAAATACAGAGTGTACATTTCTTCTCCATATATTTACAGTAATCAAATAAAATACATGCTGTTAAACTCAAACACATTTTTACAAACAGACTTCCTAAATCCATTATTTTGTAAACCTGCATGGCCACCTTAATTAAAAAAAAATTTGTTTGTTTACAGATTTGAATACAAAACAGTTTGTACTGTATTTGATTTTTTTATTATTACTATTCAATATTTTGTCATTATTTTTGTTTTGTATATTAGCTGGTGTGTGTGTATGCTAATGTGTGCTTAAACTGTGGTGCTCCAATCTAATGTCTTCCAAGAATTTGCAGTATTTAAAATATCAATAATTTATTGATAAATGTTCAACACTGCCAGATGAGCAAATTCAAATAAGGTTGTTTTGCCTGAGTGTGTGTATGAGAGTTTCTCATTCACTGATAAACATATCTAGAAAAGTAAACATCCTCTGAGGTTAGAAATCCTCTGTTTGTATGCTAACCTTTCTGCATTCTTTCCAAATTACTGTGTTTAGAGTTGTTTACATTTTGAGATATATTAAAATCTGCTTTTTATTTTCTTACAATCTGCTGCTCATTTAAATCAGTGATGTTTGATGAAATCAGGATGCATGTGAAAACTGTGTCTTTGCTGCTAAAAGATTTGATTTGACGTTTGAAACCAGTTAATCTGCATGCGATTGTGCTGTAGAGCAAGAAAATGGCAAGAATTAAAATATCAAAGATAAACATCATGTGCCGTGTCGGCACAACATTTCATTTGAATTCACACCAAGTTTGAAAATCGCAAGATAAAATGAGAAAACTTTTTCAAGGAAAATTAAATTAATTAGGCTAATTATACACACACACAATAATTTTACATAAATTCTCTCAATGTTGGGGCATTTGGACAAGTCTGTCTATAAATTTTTAGATGCCTGTTGCACTGCAGAATAACAAATCACTTTAAGGAATCCTTGGGCTGTTTTGTAACTGGATTGTATTTCAGGTGTATTCCGTTTACACCATTCAGTCTTGATTCTTTTCAGTACATTAAAGCTCCCCAAGACAACAAAAACACCCCTCCCTGTTTTGTGACCAATTATTTGGTCTGTCGCTCTCTGTTTCTTGATATCTCTATAACCTCTGTACAGTGAAAGGATAGGGTAGATGTATTTAATTAATGTTGAACCAGGTTTCGTGAGTCACATCTACATTCTTAGGGTGTGGAAACCGATCCGACGAGTCCTTTTCCTTTTTCAATGCAAAAAACATTTCACTCCCTGTTCATTATGCTTGTGCTTCCTCTTTTCATCATCGTAAACGCCGCTTTAATCCATAAATATCAACATTTGCAATTGCTAACTATACGTACATATGAACTGTTTTTGTTGTTAAAAATCTGTTACAGAAGTTAAAATTTAGTATGCAAATTCAATCAAGGTTAACCATTCACCCAAATAAACAAGTGTAAACCAGCTGAAAAACTTTACAACAGAACTGCTCGATCTGGTTCAGTGTTTCTTCTGTCGTGTTTTATAATGTTTCCTCTTGCACAAACAAGTTCAGACAGAACACATGGCCTGAATAACTCAAAGCAGGCATGAGTTCCTTTAAGACTTTGAAAACCCACTGAGGGGAAGACTGGCAATCCTCATGACAAAATTATAAAACTACAGCTCTATTAATGCTTGACTCAGAGAATGAATCATCATCATTGTGCAGAGGTTTTAGCGGTGAGTCAGAGGGCTTTACATGTGCCACTGACAAGAATTTCTCAAGCTTTGATGAAAAAGAACCACAGAGACATTTCCTGTGGAAAACTCCACCCCTGGGATTCTAGGGATCAAACCGGCAGTCTTTTGTATTACCAGCAGAAATCCTTCACCATTAGGCTCCCACCACTAGCGAAAACTGTTGCACTCATTCTATAAGGAGAATCAAGCTGAGATAAATTCATATCCAAACCAAAGAGCCTTCAAAAAGCATTTCCTGCATCCCAGACCTAATCCAAGAGTTACTTGGAACACATTAACTTTAATTACCCAAAATAATTAGTAGGCTACCCGGATTCTCAGCATGATGCTAAAAAGGTGCCTGACAAAATATTTATAGTAGCCTAGCCTCCAGAGATCCACCACACAACAAGTTTCTAAGCAACAAAAACTCTCTAACTCTCTCTAAAAAATATCTCTAAAGCTGTTGTTCAGGACGAGGTGTGGTCCTTTACGTGACTATGGAGTGCAGACTTTCATGGACAAGTTTGAACTCGGAGAAGCCGCCTGCAGACGTTGGCAACACCACAAACCACTAACATGCAGTGTGTACTTGACAGAACTGTCCAAACAAAGGGAGTCTTATTTATTGTACAATAAGATGGAAAATGTTGCTAGGCTGCACAGGCAAGGGTTTACTATTTGTTCCATAAAACACAATGCAGTACCATAATATTAACAGTATACTAAAAAAAACTTTTTATGGAGTCATATTACAGTAATTTTAGACTTAACACTGTAACTTCATAAACAGAACAATCCTGTTTCCAACACTGGACATTTAAAACAATACACCGAAAAGCATGATGATTTTGAGAGCATATAAAATACAAATATGTATTAAATTATCATGCTATCTTTACAGTTAGAGGTTTATAGCAAAGCTGTGTCCTCTAGTTTGGATACTGAACTCCACCCTCACTGAGGCGTGTTACCAAACCAGATGCACAGGGAAGCCAAGCAGAGGTCTTCAGAGAAGAGTTTAACAGCCGCTGAATTACAAGAGAAAAGATACATCCAAAGTAAGTAATAAGCTTTGTTTTTAGTTCAGAAGCGATTCACATTGTTCAAATGACAAGCAACTCGTCAGCATTTGCGCTACAAAAATGTTTTCATTATAACATCCTTGTTTCCGTTCACTTACCCTGACCTGTCATTTCTACTCGATCGAATCGATTTTATTGATCACTAATTAAAGGGAAAGTGGCTGAACTGTTTAATTAGCTTACGTTTAAGATTGTAGTCTGCTGATTTTTTTAAATTTTATTTTTTTATGTGAAATCTATTTAGACTATTTTATGCGCTGTTTTAATAGGGTAGCCTATAGTATTACAAATATGCCAGCGTTTACAAAAGGAAAAAAAAAAACAGAAATATTTTATAATTATTTTATAGATTTTGAGTGCTGGAGAAAAACTTAAGTGCGATTGACGATTAAAAACGAAAATCACTGATAACAATAGCCTAACAAAGAAACTAAGGACACAAAGTAGCGAGAAAGAGAGCTGCACTGATTTAACTTTGATTAGTTTACACAAAACAGTAGAACTGACTAGATTCAACACATGTGAATGTAGCTACTTAAAATATAATCAAATGTTAAAGAGCTGATGGCACGCGCGGTCTTTGTAAGCTTACATCCATTCGGTTGAGGAAGACATTATATGGGGGATGTTTATTAAAGGCAAAGCTATAAAACTGTTATAAAAATATAAATATAGAATATATAAATATAGATAGAGCAATGATTTTTTGCCTTTTCTGATAGTGATGAATGGTGTGATGGCCTATCGTGCATGAAACATTTTATGATTTGAACACCATTATAAAACATTTAAAGGGATAGTTGACACACACACACACACACACACACACACACACAATTAAAATTCTGTCATCATTTACTCACCTTCATATCCATGCAAACCTGTTTGATTTGTTATGGATATTAAGCTCCAAAATAAAAAAAATGCATCATGAATGCATCATACGATCCATACGACTTGTGCACTATATACTTAAAGTCTTCTGAAGTCATACAATAGTATTCTGTGAATATCAGACTGAAAATTAAGTCATTATTCACTTTAATCCTCACCTCAAGTGATCTGCTAATTGCTGTGATCAGATCATTGAGTCAGTGAGTTGAATTCAAGAAGCAAATCAATTTAATGAATGAATGAATCATTCAGGACCTCTTTCCCAAAATCACTATAATCCATTCATTATATGGATGAGTGACCTAGTTATTCTTAAAAAAAATGACCTTTTCAGTGCGCTGGAATAACATGAGGGTGAGAAAATGGTTGAACTATCCCACCATCTTGCTTTTAAATACAAGAAGTTGTTTTGAATGAGTTCACTCTTGATTTTTTCTTCTAGATTCAGACTCTGGCTCAGGTTGCTGTATTCTTTATCAGAGATATTCAGTGTCAAAAAGGATCAGAGGACACATTCAGAGAAGAGAAGTGTGAGTAGGCCTTGCTCTGAGCCATGGACTGGAAGACTTTTCAAGCCCTGCTCAGTGGGGTGAATAAATACTCCACTGCATTTGGCCGGATCTGGCTCTCAGTGGTTTTTGTGTTCAGGGTGATGGTTTACGTTGTGGCGGCTGAGAGAGTTTGGGGTGATGAGCAGAAAGACTTTGACTGCAACACCAAGCAGCCGGGCTGTGCAAATGTCTGCTATGACCACTTCTTCCCCATTTCCCACATCCGACTGTGGGCCCTGCAGCTCATCTTTGTCACCTGTCCATCGCTGATGGTGGTCATGCACGTGAAGTACCGCGATGAGCGCGAACGCAAGTATCGCGAGAAGCACGGTGAAAAAGCCAAGCTCTATGACAACACGGGGAAGAAGCACGGTGGACTGTGGTGGACATACTTGATAAGCCTTTTTGTCAAGACTGGCATCGAGATCACTTTCCTGTACATCCTCCATCACATTTATGACAGTTTCTACCTGCCAAGGCTGGTGAAGTGTGATGTCCAGCCATGTCCCAACGTTGTGGACTGTTACATTGGTCGACCCACAGAGAAAAGAGTCTTCACCTACTTCATGGTTGGAGCTTCAGCTCTTTGCATAGTGCTCAGTGTCTGTGAGATCATCTACCTGATCTCCAAACGCGTCATTCGATGTGTCAACAAGATGAAGAGGCACCACAGAAGCAGCACACCACTTAATGGACGATACCGAGACGAGGACAGCAACTGCACCCTTCCTATGCATGAATTGGACAGCAAACCCCAGTTTAAGTTGGAGTCTAAAACAGATTTTAAGTCTGACTATAAACCTGGGTCTAAACCACAGTTTAAATCTGAACTCAAGCCAACATTTAAGCCAGCGTACAGATTGAGTGTCGACATGAGAGCTTCTGCTCCAAATCTCTCAGTACCCATGTACAAGATACAGTCTGATATACTTTGAAGAACATTTGTTTTTCTCCAAGTATTCACAAAGTCATATTTAGGTATAAAACAAGCTTTGAATGTCTGGACAGTCTCAAAGTCTTTCATTGTCCATCAAGACCTATAAAACTGCCAATCTTGGGTCATTTGGCCGAAGGTTCATGAAATTCTATATGCCAAATTCAGAAACTTTTGCCTTGGAAACAGTAGGGATTAAGTGGCCTGCCTAGTGGGGCAGTGGAAATGAACCAAGATTGTGATATCACTGGTACCTGGGTTCAAACCTGGAGTCTTTTGATTAGCAGCCTAGTTCCTTCAGGCTTCAACTCCAGCTCAAATGACTGCATAACCGC